GCATGGTCTGCCTTCTCCCTCTGGCCTGACCGTCATCTCCATCGAGGAGTCCTGGGCAATTATGACTATGGAGGAACAAGAAAACAGCCTGTTGCTAGTCACAGGTGCAAGTCTCTCGGTCCTTCTTTTCAATCCTGGCCTTCCTTCCAGCCATCATACCTCAGTGAAAGGAGTCACTGGTGAGGAGGTAATATGCTATTTTTGACAACCCTTAGGCTGTAACTACTTATTAGATCCTTCTTGCATATCTCTGTCTTCCTGAGAAACCACTTTGAAGATACCACCACGTATTACAGCAGCCATTGATATTTTCCTACCAATCTATCCATAACTGTGTTAAGTTTGTAATGTTCCTATCCTATTTCATAATGTATGTTTATTATTATGTGTTTCCTACAACAACCATTGAGAATAGTTAATGATTTTTCAATAGGTCACTGATGTATAGCTCTATTTATTTTCTTTAGAAGCCACTTTGAAGATACCAAAGTATAGCACAACAACTCTTGATAATCTCCTACCTCTTTTGTCTCTAACTCACTATCATTTGTCTATTTTTTTTCCTGAGAAACTATTTTGTAGATAATAATATGTAAAACAATAACCATTGATAATTTCCTACCATTTTGTCTGTAATTTGCTAAGTCCCCCCTATTATTATGTTATCCTTCTTTTATTCTTTAAAATAAAAAAATAAATAAATAAAAAAAATAAAAACAAACTATTAAATTTATTTATGTGTGATAATGCTATGATTTTACAAAAAAAACTTATTTGTTAATGGGCTATTGATAAAAGTATGATGTTTAGAATTTCCTTTAGAGGAAAATTAAAGTGTATGTGTGTATTTATGTGTGTATAACAAGAGCTGCAAATGATGGATAAAGGTTGAAGCTGAATGTTAGGAATAGATGGGTTATTATCCACTTCTCTTGGCTTTTGTATTTACTTGAAAGTCATCATGCTTAAAATTAATAGTTGATTTTTATTTTAAAATTATCTTTGTATGAAATGCAGCAAAATATGAAAAATCCCATGGACTGTTAAGGAGAAACACTGAAATATATTCCTACACAACTACTATCCAGAATGCAATGTGAATATCACCATTTCTTGAAGTCTCCTCTGGACCTCTCTCAAGCTCCTCAGCCTTCTTAGCCCTCTCAGAGAATCACTATTCTGAATTTTGTGCTATTACCCCCTTCTCTTTATTTTTTTAAAAAAGTTATTCCTGTACGTATTCTTACTGAATATACTGTTTAGTTGTGTTATTTTCTGTTTTTGAACTTCATACAAATAAAATTATACTTTATAAATTCCATTTGCTTGCTTCTTTAACTTTAATTTTGAAATGTTCCATGCTGATGTATTTAACTGTAATGGTTCATTTTAGCTGCTGCAGTGTTCTATTGTGTGCACGTACTGCAACATTTTTTATACAGTTTGGTAGATATTTAAGTTATTTTCAACACATCATTAATATTACTGTGCATCTCTTCTGGTGCATGTATAGAATTTCTTTAAAATGTATACTGGTTCCAAGATCTTGCTATTATAAATTGTGCTGCTCTAAACATGGGCATGAATGTACCCCCGTAATATGATGATTTTAGCTCTTTTGGGAAGATACTTTTGAGAAATACAAAATATATATAAATATACAAATAAAGAGCAAAATGGAAGAGAGGTAAGTGGGAAGTATGGAGAAATTCAAATACTTCTCCAAATTACTTATTTTATTGTTTCAGAAATATTTTGATATACATGCTAATTCATTTATAATACTCACATACTTAGATCATTGAAAAGAAAGTTTGTGTTGCAATCTGTTTATTTTTTGTAAGAATCTTCTCGGTTTTTGTTTTGTACTCTGAGTACAGAACAAAATACACTGATAATGATACACAGTGTATTAAGTAGGTTATTTTCTATTATTTTGCTATGAAATTTTGTATCTTTTTTTATAAAATACAAATGCTGTACATTGGTAACTGCACTGTAGTAGACATGCTAGTATAATTGAGCAATGCCATCCTACTGCGTATTCCAAAGTGATGGGCATACCAGTTAGGCTTCTTGTGGTAAGCAGTGTTTCAGATAATTTCCCTTCTTCCACAACTTCACTTACTCTTACTAATTTTCAAATTCTCCACAATTGCCACTCTATCGATCATTGTGAAGTGGCATCTTACTATTATTTTAATTTGCATTTGTCTTATTCCTTTCTAGTGAGTGTTAGCACCCTTCATGTTTGCTGGACATTTGTACTTCCTCCCTTGTGAAACACACATTCATTCATTTATTCATAGACTAGCATGTTCTCTTTTTCTTATTGACTCCAAGGAATTTGCTATGTATTCTGTATATTAAACTTTTCTAGTTATTTATGTTACAAATAACTATTTTGTGGCTTGATTTTTCCACTCTTTATAGGATCTCTGAACTGTGATTCTTAATTATACTCTGAGTAAATTTAACAATTTTGCACTCTAGCTCACCTTACTAAAAATATCTCTGTCTACATCAAGGTAAAAAAACTATTTCCCTCTATTGTGTTGTAGTAACTTTATAGTTTTGCTTCTCACATCTAGGTCTTTAAACCACCTGAACTCTCTCCCTCCTTTTGGTATTTGTGAGACCAGGCTTTGATTTCATTTTTTCCATATGGATTCCCAATTGACGCAGAATCATTTGTTGAAAAGTTCATTCTTTCTCCACTGCTCTGTAATAACAACTCAGTCATAAATCAAAAGTCTGTACAAGTGTGTCTCTACTTTTGGGTTCTCTAAAACAGGCTGAATTTTCATCATCCAGAAAAAAAATAGTAAGCAGAACAGTCTAAGTTTGGTAATTTCCTGTGTCCCTTTGAACCTAGATCTATTGAGATTATTCGTAATTTATTTCTCTTCCTTTTTGTCACTCCTCTGAACCATTATTCTCAGTCTTCTTAGGTTCCTAACATGCCAGTTAGTTCACGTTACAACAGTAAAGGGTCTCTGTTGAGGCAATATAAGGATTTTTTTAAAGCTCTCCTAGATAGACAGTGAACAATTCCAACCTTCAGTTTGCCATTAACTTCGGCAGTGCCCATAGGACAACAGAAACTCAGTACTTACTGGTTTTCTTTCTTTTTCTTTTTCTTTTTTGTTTTTTGGTTTTTCTCCGGTACTGGGAACCGAACTCATGACCTTGCGCTTGCCAGGCAGGTGCTTTGCCACTGAGCTAAATCCCCAGCCCCCTTACTAGTTTTCTTACAAGATCCCCCATGGGCAAATGAAGAGGTGCATGATTTACTTTCTTATATATCCAACGTGTTCTTCTATGAAACACAGCTATTCTGTTTTTATCAAAAAATGACCTAGAAATTCGACTAAATCATATAAATATGATGTGGGTTTCACTTTACTGTTTTATTATTGTTTTAAAGCATGTTAAACTTGTTTTAAAATGTTACATTAAAAACTTGACTGTTTAACAAATCATGTACTCCAGTTTATTTGCTTTGTGCTATTAAGAAGGGACTCTCAGGAAACTAAAGTGCCAAAACAAAGTAATTAGGCTTATTTAATAATAAAAATTTTATTGCACTTTATTAGCTGTGCAAGGACACGAGTTTGGGGATGCTTTCTTACCTATGATATTGTACATTTTGGTATTCTCTTTTTGATCTAGAATATGTCTTCTTCAGTCAAATTCTGAGACCAATGAACTCCATTAAATTATATCCATTTATGTAGTGAACTGAACCCCTGCTCGGTTGAGGCTGTCTAGAGCTGTGACAATTACCGGCTGGAGAGAGGCAAAAAGAGACTGATTTTATGTGTCACTGAAGAACACTGCAACAATATGCTAGAGTGACTTTCAAAATGGCCTTAAAATACTCCAAACTCAGGGAGTTTCCTTGCTCTTGAGTGGGAGCTGACAGACTGTCTGGCGGCATTATAAAGAGGCGGAGAAAAGCTAATGTCTATATTGTGTCCCCTAATAACATTCGGCTTCTTTGCAGTATGTCCCTGGGAAAGATCTGTCAATTTGTTGTGAGGTGTATGTGTGTGTGTGCGCGCGCGCTGGTGCGCTGCCTTTCCCTGTATAGGGGGCATAATCTTACCTTTCACATCTGGGAAAACCAAGCCGAAGGACAATAACCCTTCCAAGGTCACCTAGAAAATTAGTGTTGCGGCTCATAGGAGGGGGTGGAACTGAACCCAGTTGTCCCGACTCCAGCTTCTTGGCTGGGCACTAAATCATTTCCCTTCTCTTGTGAAAAAAAAAAAGAAAAAATCATTGGGCGGGGATGGGGAAGTGAGGGGAAGTAAGAGATTAATCAGATTTCCTCCTTTCCCTTACGTCCCTTCCCCCTCACGAAGATTAAAAACTCAGGAAAGCAAACGAGGTCCCCTCTCGGTAGTTCTTAAACTGGGTCCTCCAAACCCACCCCCGCCATCCCACCCAGACACAAAGCGATCCGGGTTCCCAGGGCTCCTGCTCGTCCTACCACCAGCCTGGGAGGTGAGCAGCGGTTGCAACTCAGCCCTCACCTCCAGCGGGTCCCGGCTCGCGGCGCCCAAGCCCCGCCCCCGCCCTCCCTTCCCCCACGGCCTCGCACGCCAGCCCCTCTCTCCTCTCCCCACCGGGCGCACCCACCCCAGATGCCGCCTGGCACCGAGCGCAGCCGCCGCCGTCGCCGCAGCACTTTGCACTGGTGTTGACCACCTCTCGGTTCCCGCAGCCTGCTCGCGCGAGTGCAGCGCGGTCAGCGCGCCCGAGCTTGGCAGCCCCCGCGCAGTCGAGCTCCGGAGGAAACTCCTTGGGAGCGCCCTGTCCGGGGTGCCCTCTGCGCTCTGCAGTGTCTTTCTCTCTGCCTGGGAGGAGGAGGAGGTGGAGGAAGAGGAGGAGGAGGAGGAGAAGGAGGAGGAGGAGGGGGAGCGGGAGCAGGAGGAGGAGGAGGACGTCTGGTCCCGGCTGGGAGGTGGAGCAGCGGCTACAGCCGCCGCCGCCGCCGCCGCCGCCTCCGGAAAGGGAGAGGCAGGAGAGATCGAGACTTGGAAACCCCAAAGTGTCCGCGACCCTGCACGGCAGGCTCCCTTCCAGCTTCATGGGCAAAGTGTGGAAACAGCAGATGTACCCTCAGTACGCCACCTACTACTACCCCCAGTATCTGCAAGCGAAGGTAAAGGGGGCGCGCGGGCCGGCGGGGAGCGCGCGCGGGGACCCCCCAGCCGCCCCCCGCGGAGTTGATGGAAGGTTGCTAACTATAGCGCGGGCCTGGGCAGGGGCGAGCCGGGCTGCGCGCGGGGCGGCGGCTTCCCGGAGAGCCGAAGGCGGGGATCGGGTTACAGAAAGCCTTGGGGGGGGGGTGGTAGACAGGAAAGAGTGGCCAGCCCCTTCCTGGCCCGGGAGGCGGGGAGGGTCGCGGGGCCGAGCGGCGCCCCTCGCGGAACGCTGCGGCCGGCGCCTGGGGCCCTCGGCGGGACCGCTGGTGGTGGCCGGGCTTCCCGACCACTTCTCCAGGGCCTCGCCCTGAGAGCCGAAACTCCACGCTTCCTCGGAGTGGCGCGGAGCCGGCCGCCCGCAGGGCGCCCCTCTGTCTCCGGCGCGTGGACTGGGGCTCGGGTGGGGGCGGCGGAACCTTCTCCTCCCCGCCTCAGGCCCTGCGCGCCCGCCCCTGGCTCTGATCTCTGCGTGGTGTGGCACTTCACCTGGTTACTGATTTCTACTTTTACGCTGGTGTTTTGGGTCGAAAAGTGGCCAAAGTTCACTGAGCAGTCATTGAGGTCTCTTTTAATCTTCTCTGTAGCTTTCGCAGAGGAGGGACACTGAGCAGATTTAAGTGCACAGTAAGAAGTGACTTTGTTCAGTTGCTCTTGTTTCTTTCTTGTTTCTTGTTTTTTTAAACGAGCTTACATGTTTACCATGGATCGATTGCCAATGGTGCTTTCTCAAAAGTGGCTCCAGCACACTGTTAGGTAATGACATGTTGTCACACAGATTGTGACTGGCATTCTAGGGACCCCGGGTACGTGTTTAGTAGGCCCATCTTATTTTCACCACAAATTGACGTCTCCTGAACTCACTTAAAAAATTCTTTGGGACCAAAAAGAGGAAATTTCGCTGTTTGGGAGCTTCTGCCTCAATATGATGGAAGCTGGATGCAGCAGCTTCAGCCCCTAAGGTCTAGCACAACTCTCGGTGCCCTAACAGACCACAAAAGAATCAGGTCTGGGTGTAGAGTTTGAGCTTTTGGTGGGGAGGTTGCTACCATGCTCTGCTTGTTGGCGTTTCGGGCCCATGTTAAGAATCTCTGACTCGACCTTGGTAAGCTTTTCATTTTTACAATGTGTGTGGTCCATATTGTCGTGTACCTACAACATAGCCCTGGCCGTATATAAAGGACACTTGTCAGCGCCGCGTCCAGAAATTTCCTTAGCGCGCCAGGGCCTCATTGTCGCTCCCTCCCAATTTTCATCTTACATCGGGTCACCAGAGACCAGCAAGAAGGTAGCTGCAAAAATACCTATTACTCATTTCTGTGTGGCTGTCACGTAACTGTTTTCTGGAACTTAGGAAAGATGCTAGGTTTTTGTGAGCAACATTACAGCTCTTCAAAGAAATTTTGTAGTGTAACCATTGTGCTACCTTTTAGATGTGTTATATATTTAATGCACTTGTTTAAATTATGCAGCACTGGGTGTCTAAAGGACAGCATATTCAACACTTAGCCCTATGAATAATAAATACATACAATCAGGTGAAGAAGAAAAAAAGCTGTGTTCTACAGGCATATTTACCTTAGTAATTTTTATGTACCATTAGGAAGTTAGAAACCAAGTACATAACATTTAATACAGCTAATGCAATGCCATTTGGCTTTTTTTGCCCTGTAAATAATTGAAGAGAGAGACAAATAGCAAGAGACTGCTCTAGTAATTAGGGTCAGATCCCAGAAAGCTTTAGGGCCCATTTTCTGAAAGTGTGCTTCCTGCATAAAGCATTTAATATTGATTTGTGTTACAGTAAATGACATTCTCAAAACATATTTTGCTGTTTCTGCTATGAAATCTGAAATCCTATTACTCTGAATCCCTTTGTTTCAGGAGAAAGTTACACATCCATCCTCACTTGACCTATATAACATGGTATTAAAGTTTGGTAATTAAATCTAAATTCCCTGTTGTAAAAGTATCTTGATTATCTCAGAAAGAGGCATCTCTGAAAAATGAGGAATGACTAGATGCAGATTTTAGATAAGCAGAGATTGGAACACATGGCCATTTTTTCCCCTCTCCCTTACATATCTGTTGGTCATGTGGTAGTGTGAGTCATTAAACAATATACTTTATTTGATTTGTAGTTAGTTTAGTAAAAAGTGTTGCCTAATCTGCCTGAAGAATTAATAAACTCACTTAGAATCTGTTATCCACTCTGATAATGTCTGCCTATGTGTGGGTTCATGCCTGCGTGTGTATATGTGAGTGTGTGTGTGTGTGTGTGTGTGTGTGTGTGTTTTAAGCTTTGTGAAGTAAGGATAGAAAACATCACTGTATAAAGTACAGTTACGTGTTTGCTAGTCTCGGCTGTTTTCAAACTTCTGTTTGGAAACTATATCAAAAGCTGAGAAATCGCATGGTCAATTAAAGTGATTTCAACGTGTTATCAAGGGATGTGATTTTCTTGAATCAGGAAGGAATAAACTAATGTAATTTCTTTCATCAGAGAAGTAGATGATACCAATTATAATAGATAATACCAATTAGAATACCATTCTGAAAGGAGTTTTGTTACCATACTTTAAGAAGTTACCTATACTAAACTATTCTTTTTGTGTTAATGACTCAATTACATTGTTTTGGCAAATTTATTTTATGATTTTTCTTCCATTAAGAACATATTAGCTACTTTTGCATTTTTGAATAGCAACAACAAAAGGCTGTATTAAAAAGATACCTGCATTAGGTGTGGAGATGTTTGCAGTTATGGAAAGACATGTATGGAAGGACATGTATGTAACTGTTATAATACTTCAGTGCAGAGTATTGGATTTCAAGTGACCTGATTTTATATGCTGTTATCTCTCTCTCTTCTTCTCTTCCTTTCTCCCTCCTTCTCCACCTCCTCCTCCTTCTGCTCCTTTTTTTCTTTTTTGTTCTCTGTATCACTTTCAGAATGACACATTCATTCTGAAATGTAGTTTCACATAGTGTTGTAAACATAAACACATGCTGTTCTAAAGGCTTTCCCCAATTTTAAAGTGATTTGAGCTATATTGTGTCAAGGTAAATTCAGCTGCACAGAGAAAAATTTTGGTAATTAACATTTTAACCTAAAGATTTATGTGAGCATATTTGCAACCAGGGGCAATAGAAATTTCACTTATTATAAGTCAAACCTTGAATCATAACTTACTTCATAGATATATTATTGTCAGTGTATATATGCAAATATTTATAGGGATTGAAATACTTATTCTGTTTCTTTTGAAGAAAGAAAAAAAAGAAAATTTTCTTTTCATGGAATCTAGATGCCGTGTACCAGCTAAAACCAGTCTAACACATCTGTAATCTTCACATAGTTATAAAATATATTTCTCTAAAATATACAACGTTTGACTAGTTTTTTTTTTGTATGTAGTAGTGTTGTTTTCTATACTAAAAATATGTTCTATGCTAAGGAATTATTTGTTTCTAAAACAAAATTTAGTTTTTAAGCCATCTTTTTATGCCAAGGTACATATCTGAACTTAGCTTCAAAATCTGAAAACTGGTAATTTGGGATCTGAAATTGCTGTAGTTTGGGATTCCATTAATAAAGGCTACTAGGAAAAAACAGTTTTTCTGAATTTAACTTTTGCACACATTAAGCATTTTGTTGAATTTCTTGACTCTTCTTTAGTTGTGGCCAAATGAATATTGTGTTAAACAATTTTTTTCTCTAAACATTAAGAATCACAATTTGATGCAGAAAACAAGTGTTTGTAAGAAAGTGGACCGAAAGTACAAAGGCATAAGATGTGGGGTTCTTTGTGTTGTAAGATTTATGAGGCAAATAAGTTTGCTTAAATATATCAATTTAGAAGTGCAGTATTTTACCACGATAAATCTACTTCATTTCCTTAGTGTGATATTGTGATTGTCTGCAAGTGCTATTGGAAGACTCAAGATCATGCAAATGTTAAAAATGAAAATGCATTATAATGCAACGTAGCCTTCTTATTAAAAAGGTTTTCCACAATAGTATTATTTCATGTATCATGTTTTCTAGTTTGAATCAACATTTAGGGGACTTAGAGGGTAAGCAAGAGAAAGTAAATGAGAATAGGAAAGCACACAATCATTAGCCATCCCTATCACTAGATATATCTTACATCTTTGGTGATACTGACTTTGAATGATCTTCACTTTGGTGATCTTGACTTTAGATTCAAATGTAGGCCATTTCCGTATACTACACTTTCAAAAAAATGTTAAAACTTTATTGATACACTGCTGACTTTTTATTTTGCTTAGTGGTTTATTGAAACTTTAAAAATTACTTCAGCTTACTTAAAGACCAGTTACACATTTTTGAGCTAGTGACAAAAGGATCTTTTTCCATTTGTTTTTATTGAAGAGGGAGTTGTCAGGAAAGACAATCGTTTGATTTTTTTTCCATAGCTGATCAACCAATAAAAATGATATGTGAAAAATCCAGAATACAGGATTAAGTATTCAGTCAAGACAACATGAACACTCATTCATTCTTTTTAATGACGACAGTTTGTTTTCATTAGATACTCACTTACGTAAAGTTTATTTTCTCCACACACTGTCTCACAGGCTCACCGTCAACCTCTCTAAAGAATATCAGTGTGTCCCTTGTTCCATTTTTATTCCCAGAACAGTAGATGCTAAATAAATGATTATCAGTAGGCTATTATTATTCAGGAAAAAAAGGCATGTAAAATTATTTGAGGCCAGAAAAATTTTGTAGAACAAACTCTACAAATATAATGACCTAGCCCAATTTTCTAATAAAATCTCAATATAGTTTGATTCTTTAAATTTATTTTGTTCCTATAATGAAAACTTTAAAATGTTTTATGGAAAAACATCACCAAAATGAATTACATAGTGATTGATCAATGCCTAGTTTGGAATCAGAAGAGAGCCTTTTTGTCCAATCTTTATGAAAGGA